TTATATATATATATACGCTTGAGTTGTGCTTATTGTTATTGTTCGTGTTTCTGGCTGCTTGTGGGACACATATCCCTCTTCTGAATCTGGACTTCTATCTCTATTGAGCGGGGCTTGGACGCATCAGAATAGCTAGCTTATTGGTCGTTGTGTCACTGAGTCTTTGTTCCGTTCGCAGATTAGGTGGACTCGTAATCTCTTCAAATAAAGCAATAAGCTTTGCTGGATTTATATTACACTGTTTATGCTAAGCTCTAACGTGATGAATAATTAATCGGTCTTTAATGTCTTCTGATTGGCTAAACGGTTGCACGGGGGTATATGTTGGCTTCAGCTTTAACAATTATTGGTTATTTTGCTATCTTCATTGCTATCCTTGAATAGTCATTTATTTTTGTCTTACTAGTTCGATTACATATTTTGCTTATATAATACATTGATATTATTTCTTGTTAGATAGTCGGTCAGTTTAGTACTCCACTCAAAGACTATTCAATTGGTGTTTTAATGTTACGATTATTATGCAATGATTACTTTAACTACTTCAGTCAATCCTATATTTTGGCAATTCAGTTGTTTCATTGTAAGAAGTTGGATAAACATAAAGACTAAATGAGGAATACGACACATATCCGTCAATTTATGGCACATCTGCGTCATAATGTTCAGTTTGTGTGAAATTATCTAGCATTTTCGAATCCATTTAGTGAGTTCTGTTTAGAAGAGCATAACGTCCATTAGAAATTTCGGTGAGACTATAATTTATGGACGACCATTGAGCAACGCTAAACTGACCTTGAGAGTGTCTACCTGATAACTAGAACCAAATTAGGGTTATAAACCTGTGTGGGGAATTAAAATTGTGATGTACAGTTGATGGTTAAAGTTAGGAATTAGATTTAGGGTTTTCATCACGAACTAACATCAGCTATAATGCCAAAACTCTATCTAGCCAAATGGATGAATGAATTTCGCGCCAAAATCCGAGACCTGTTATCTTATACCTGATTGGTTTGTCCATAAATTATAGTCTCGCCGAAATTTCATTTTAAGTTCAAACTTTGACTATTTGTTTTTCACATCTGGCAATTTGGAGTACACTACACCTACACAACTTTAGATGACTGAAATGAAATCTTCAGTAAAAAATCCCCTTTTAAAATGCAAGGTTGGAATAAGAGTAAATATATTCTATTTTAGTGATTTATAAAGAACTCTAAAAACAACTGGATTGGATAGAGTACAGTATATTATTTATTCTCTTAAAGTAATTCAAGGATAATTGATTAAATTAGTTTATTATTTATTATTGACCTATGAATGTTATCCAATCGAATCACACTTGATGGAGAAGCTTTGGAAGATGTAGAAACCTTTACATATCTGGGCAGCATCATTGATGAACACGGTGGATCTGATGCAGACGTGAAGGCGTGGATTGGCAAAGCTAGAGCAGCATATTTACAACTGAAGAAATACTTAAAAGGAATTACTTGAAGTTAAACTTACTACTAAACTTACATAGGAATAATAACATGTTTCTAAAAATAGTGATTTTTGTTATCATGTTTTCAATAAATGAATGAATACGTTGATAAGATGAAATTCTCAGTGTATTAATAATCTGGTATATTCATGATACGCCTTGAGGAATTTGAATCATACCTGATCTATATTACAATTTTAGTTGAACTAGGATACGTGAACTACTTGAATTCGGGCTTACTGACCTTTTAGTTTGGTAAGAATTCTTAAGTTTTGAAAGTTTTGCTTTTAATGTCATCCGATGTTATGGTATGACACTATTATGGAGTTCTAGACTAGAATTGAAAATAAATCTAGCTTTATAATTCTAAATAATGTCCCAATTTTTGTCAGTACATGATTTTAAACTATGACCAAGTAGTTTTGTGGATAAGCTACCTCTACAAGACTTGAGCATTGGAATAATATTAGATTTATATTGTAAGAACGGTGACTAAGTGATTAAACTACCCTGGCTTCAACCAGTAGAGGCCATGTTCAATAACAGTTCCGATTACTACCATTTGGAAAACCGCTATGTATTATTAGTTCTCATACTAATTATGTGACTTAAATCCGAATGCATAAATATGTACTTGGTGGGTAAAGATCAAAGTTAGTTCAACTCTTTACAAACCACTTAGTTTAACTATTCTTAATGGAGGAAATTGTCAGATCATTTAAATTAACATTTTCAGCATTTATTACTTAGAATAGATGTGTTGTGACTAGCAGTTGAATCGAAGACATCTTATTCGCAACAAGTTAGCTTGATCTACCAGTATTTGTGTTGATATACACACCGGAATACGAATCCAGTGCTTTTCACCTCAAACTTCACAATCCATTCTATTCTGAATAACATATAGCATGATGGCTATTATCATGTCAATACTCACAGGATGAACATATTCTTATAAAGATTGACCGAAATTCAGTCCTTAATATCAACAACGGGATAACTCAATCCCTTACTAATAATGATGCAAATATCTATTACTATTCAATGTACAATTTAGATATGATTTTATGATTCTTTAGATTAGCCATGTTTCTTTTCATATTTACTTATGTTAACTTATTTACATCTAGAAATGTTGTATCTTCATTTTTGTTTACGTACTTTTCTCCGTCTATTTTTTATGCTATTATTATTAAATTTGTTTATCTGCCCACAACTCATAATCAAAATGTCTAGCTAGAATACGTCAATAATTAATTTTGATATCATAATATTATCATCACCAAACCAAAGTTGTGGTTTGTATGAGTTTAATTTTGTTTTGCGAAATTCCTCATGAAATTGATACACATGTAATCTGGAGATAGTTTCCATCGAAAAATGAAATCGATTGGATAACAATTAAAAATCAGAGAATGAATGAATAGTTGTCTCACCTTAGTTTAAGTGTTCATCCTGAAATCAAAACAGATTCACAGCATTTCGGTATCATATTAGTAGGCATCGGGATAATATTATGTCACTATGTGAAACTGGTAATGTAATTTTAGATTTATTTAGAACAATTATTTTGTGAAGTACATATTGCAATCAATAAAATTTACTCATTAGTCATCAGTCAGTGGTCTTGAGTGCTATTAGAGGTATGAGGGCGGTTATCACCTCCCGATTGCCCACACCGTGGAAAGGTTATTTCAGAGGTACCTGGAAAGGAAATTTGGTTGGAGTTGGTCTTATTGACCTGAGAGCGTGACCACAAAGTACAAGGGACAACTGCTTGCGGATAATCACACACGACCTTTTTATGTTAGCCCCCTACTTGTTGGGACCTTACTGTAGGCTAAGGCGTGATGTGCATTATTAGGGTCAACCGTTTTAACCACACCCTTCCTTGTAGGAATACACCACCGCTGTTACGCTGGTTGTGTGGAGGAAACACCTTACTGCTGTCACACTTCTGTACAGTACAACCTCGCCCTTGGATCCCGTTTTGCTGCTTCTAGTTTTACTGCTCTTCAACTGACCTGCCTGGCATGGTAGTGTAGTGGGGACAATCGAATGTATCTGAACACAAAATCACAGAATCTCTTAGTAAAATCTGAGAACCATATAATAAATTCTTTATTTGCAAAATGTCAATCAATTGTATTAAACTTGACTGATTCATCTTTTCCACACCAATCACTCTCTGTTCTAGTTCTCTTCTCTTTGATCTTCTTATCCTTCTGTCGCCAGGTATTTCACTTTCATATATCTATCGACATCAGTAGGCACATCATATTAGGACCTTGAGGGACGATCGTTCCGGCCAGCATACCCCGATTGGTTCATCACGATAGGCAAGCCTGACCACCACGTTAAGAAAGCAGAAGCGGTCATATTGAATAACGGTTTCTTCTGATCACCGAAAGCATGTAGAACTGATTTCTTAACTTATAATGCCTTACAAAACTTGAACAAATGAGTCGGTAGTAATACGACCGAAGCGTAACGCTAAGTTTAAAGTAAATACAGAAATGAAACTTTGGAATATTGTGAACTTCCAAAATAGGTGTAGCAATTATTTATGAATTGTGAGTTTATCAAATCAGAATAAAAAAGGATAGAGTCACATCAATTTGGGAATTTACTAGGAATCATTAAAGGCATATTAATCGATATTTTTCACAATATAATGATTCTTTCAACTAATCATAGATATCTCCTAACAATTATCATTCACTGTAATCATTGTAAGTAGCAGTTGTGCATATCTGATATGGAATTGGCGAAATAGAAAAATGAACTAAATTTCGCTCCATAAAGTTCACTTTATAGTCAACGTCTTCAACAGATCATAGTCAAACAAGCACTGAAAACCTGAAACTTCTAAACAACTGTTTCGTAATTGTAAAGAACTCTCTTGAAATGCACACCTACAATTGCATTGGCGGTCGAACACAGGAAATTAAGGTATTGAAACGAGTAGTTAACCCTTTAATCATTTAATCGTAACCGATAGTTGAAGTTTCTAACTGTACTTTGTTTACGATATTACTCCACCGTCTTCCAACATCATTGGTTGATAACTGCTTCACATTCTGAATGGTTCGGCTCTACTGTCACTCCATTGGTCTAATGGTTGGGATACACTTACCCTCCGGTTAGATAGAGGTTGCTCACTACTAAGGAATCCTATACTAGTATGAAACAGTTGTTCATTGCTTCTTCGTCTTCAATAATTATTAAGCTAACAACAGTCCATGATGTTAACTATAAAATTAAAAAATCTAAACCAACCTCCCTATATGATAATAAATCCACTTTTCCTGACTTTGTTCATAAAAGTTTAATACAATATAATGTATTTTTTTAAGAGGAAAAAGTGATTTGAGTTAGATATGTGAACATTCTAAATAAACTAAATAAGGACCTTTTTAGAAAAATTATTTCGAAAATACTTCTCACTCCTTCAAACCAAATAATGGTAACTTCTTAATTTTTATTCCTTGTTTTTGTCGTGTTCGTACGGGAAATGTTTCGGTTATCATCATCATCATCATCATCATCATCATCATCATCATCATCATCATCATCATCATCATCATCATCATCATCATCATCATCATCATCATCATCATCATCATCATCATCAAAGTTGAATCGAATGATGACAAAACAAAAAAGAACGACCAAGTTTTTCATTAAAAAAAAGAAAATAATTAAAAGTAGTCGTAACCTCTATCACTCATTGTAAATATAACTGTCTAATCAAATTTATTCATTATTTATCTATGGGTTGATTAATAATAGTGTACATTAATTCTTTCGACAAGGGTTCGAACCAGTCTTCTTGACAGACTGATAAATATTATAAAAATTCTAGAGAGAATAACTCTATTCTATATATATTTAATATTATATAAATCCATTGTTTATTCCACGTTACCAAGTGGAATTTTTAATTGTATTAGTTAAACAATTCTTGATAATGACGTCAGAATATTAATCGGTAATTAACAATAACAACGAAAACTCTATTATAAAGAGTACTTTTAGTCAAATGAAATTAATTTACATTAAGCCAAATATTAATGCAATAGTTTATTCCTGTTTTTAATAATACACAGGCATTAATATATTTATATATAAACAATCACACAGTGTTAACAGATTTGTGATTTATTCTAATTTTCTTTCAATCAGTTAAATGGCGGAGAATAGTAGTTGATACACATATAATGGTATACACGTAATAGCACAAATACACACACAAACAGACATGCTAAGTATTACCTTAAATATTTGTAAAAACATTAAGAATTATATTGACATTGTTTATTAATTAATCGGTTGATTGAGAAAGTATACGAAGCCTATTCAATACAATAACAACAATAATGACATTACAACTACAGGTATAATTGTGCCACACATATACACTCACTCATTCACTGACTGATATATATATATATATATATATATATATATATATATATATATATATAGACGAAAAGAAAAATGGAGAAAGTACTGCACCCAACTGTGTATACACAGTACATTGACATATAAACTTACTGATATATATTGTTATTATTATTGCCATGATCAACATCATCACAATTAACATCGTAGTAATTTGAATAGGATTCCGTTATTCATCATTTGAGATCAACACTGCTGGATGACGATTTTAATGATGCTGGTGGGGAATGTTTTAGTGATGTTAGGAATATGATAATAATAATAATGTTATTATTATTTGTTGGAAAAGTTGTTTTATTGTCATTGTAGACATTCTATATTCACTGTTTGAACAAGAACAGATCACAGAGATTTTCCACCACACTACTGTATAAACACAAACATGAAAGGTGAATATATTGTGACTTTGTCCTAGAGTTCATACATATTACTATTTAACTTAATTGATAAATTTACGCGATTGAAGAAAATTAAAGTTTTCTATGTCATTTAATGAATAAACATAATAAAGGGTAATATAGTCATAGAATTGATTTATACAGGAAATATTTAAGTAATCTTTATGTTTACTCCTTCATATCCATGAGTGATGTCAGAATATTGTCTGTATGAATATAGTTGTTTTCGTGAAGATGCCGCCCATAAAGCTTTCATTAATTTTAAAAAGAAATAACTGTAGATTGTTCTCCTATCAATAGAATTTACTATGAACTGTATACCGAGAAGAAATTTTAAGAACTCATCTCTTTCCACAGTCTTCATTGACATTGCTATCTAGAAACACAATCAAAGCTTGATACTAGAGAATGCAACTTCACCAAAATCATCATTCTCAAACAAAAATTTCCCCAACCAATATTGATTATTGCTACGATTATGTTTTGGTCAGTGCCTAATCGATAATTACTCGTGAAGATAAATTGAATAATGTAAAGCCCACACCCGAGATGAAAATATGCCAGATGACAAAATAACTACCAAGCAAACAATGTTTATCGATTTCGCATAAACCCATACGATTATTTATTTGCAAAATAACTGACACGAAAATGAACCTAATCAGAAATTATCTTGATAAAGTTTGAATCTTCTCGCTGTCGACAGATTAGGGACTACAATTGACTAGTCTTGTTTTTGGGTATGTGCATCGTGAGCTAAGTACCTTGATACTGCCATCAATTCACAAGTTTTTGAGTAGAGTTAGAAATGGAAATCACGCTCTTCCTATTTGGAAATTTTCAACTAGATACAGTCGCATCCCAGTGTTAATGTTTATGTTTGGATTCGAACTTACTACCTTTCGCTTTAAATGTCTATCGAGTCATTCACTGATCTGCTGAGTCCATAAGGATACCAAATTTTCTGGCACAGATAAATTTCTCATTTTTATGGGTTTGAATAGTTCAATATTGCTTAAAAACTTTTGACTGAATGGTAGTCTGATCGTGATACACTTATCACAAAAGTGACCGATCAATTGCAATGATAAATCTTCTGACTGAACGCTTGAATAGGTTTCCTAAATTCTCCTAGTACCTCCCAGGCTAAATCTACACGGGCAACTTGAACACGAGAGAAAAGGCTCGAAATATGAAAAGAACGCTTTACCCCAAGGTTAGTTTATGTGCAGAAAACCTAGGGTATTTATGAAATTTCAAATCGCCTTGGGCTTCTGGAAAGTTCCGGAACCCTAATGACCATAGTAGCAGGTTAGGTAATCATCCAATCAGAAATGTGACACGTAACGTTTAACTTTCTAGATATTTCTGAGACATGTCTATTGAAAGCTAATTGGATAAGATGTTTCTCAGCGTTTTTAGGGCTCATTTAGGCTTTTTCCGAGGGATTTTCTGGGTTTCCCTAATATACAATCCTTAATGTCAAAAAAGTCTAGATTCAAACCTTTACAAATAAAACAAAATTCACTCCTGAAGCATAAGCTGTTGTCTGTCTGGACTCAGTAACTCACTAGGTAACGCGTTGATGTTTGATGTGATAGGTACTGTACTGGATTTCAGTCTTAGTAATAACATCAACAAAGGAATATAGACACATACAGTTGACGTATATCTTTTATTCCACTTCTAGCGACTATTCAAATTTGCACAAAAATAAGTGACTATAATCTAAGTTTTCTTACATGACATACCATTCAATTAAATAAGATTCTGACCACTACGCCTTGTTTACAAACATTCTGACAAATTGTTTTATTACTCTTTAAGTTAACAAATGAATTCTATGAAACATTTTTCGTGAGATAATGTATAGTTTTAAAGTGAAATAAAGATATAATGTAAATTAAAAGATGATTTAACGAATCAAGATTAAAAGTTCTTCATATTCAATCCTACTAATGTGAGATTGTGTATATATGTGTGTGAGCTACAGAGAATTCTTGACCCAGAACAAAATATTTTTTCTAGTGTTCTTGGATTAAAATGATAATCCAGTTGTGATTAGTTCATATGTAAGTCTAAATTATGATATAAGAAATTAATATCAGAAGGGGTTTTGTGGATATTATAGTAATTTTAGTAGTTGAAATGATGAGTCAATTAAAGTTAGACCCCCCTGGAAAACCTGAAAGCACTGGACAGTCGTTTCACCCTATTGTGGGACTCCTCAGCAATGCGCATCCATTAGCTTCAAGAGGTATTTCCTGGAGTTCTAGTGAGAAGCTGTGACCAATAGAGTTTAATCAGGTCTGTTGTGAGATAGTAACTCACTGATGACAATGGTGGATGTGTTGCTCAATTTCGTGGGCTAGTTGAAGTTAAACAATAACACTGTTGGATGCCGGCCGTCTCAGTGGTCTAGAGGTTAAGCGTTTGTGCACGAGACTGATAGGTCCTGCGTTCGAATCGCGCGGGGCGAGATCGTAGATGAGGAGTCCCACAATAGGACAAAACGGTCGTCCAGTGCTTCGAGGTTTTCCATGGTGGTCTAACTTTAATTGACTTATGATCTCAACTATTAAAATTACTATAATATCCACAAAACCCCTTCTGATGCATATAAATAAATAAATGTAATGTATTAATTCAACAAACCAATTACACATACGAAACAAACAAGATATTTTACATAACTATTGAAATCTTAGTACAGTAAAATACCAACTTGAGATATAAGGTGGTTAAACTATTAAGTGGCCAATCAATTGTCAATGTTAACTTATTAATTACAGATAAAAATTAAACAAATATTCACACATAGATTGTATTCTTCACAGACTTATCGTAAAAAGGTAAGTTGATTTACAACTGATTGATGATTGAGTAGTGATTAATGTCATATATGTTACGTCTTTGTTAGTGCAGATTGAATTTTATCGAAAAAGTTGCAATGTGGTCACTAGTCTAGATGATTTGACATCCAGTGCACTATATTGAGATGCAAAGTGGTGGTTGGGGGTAATCGATAGGGAACCCTGGACCTAGGTGACATACTATTTGACACTTATCAACAAGATGTATCTGAGCGGAGAAACTCTTTTCATCAAGGCTCTACACCAATATATAGGTTTTATAAGTGAGTAGAAAGACGATACCAATGAGATGGTGGTGAGTCAGTTTAACAAATTAATAGTCGGTTAGTTACACAATGTTTTAAAAATTAAGATTAAAAATAAAGTGAATTTTTATAATCGGTTAATTGTTACAAATAGTTACATAATTAATATTGGGTGTAAATAAAAATGTTTTTGTTATCTGTGAAATTGATGATAAGTAATTAGTAGGATGGATGCAGTGAAAATTAGATAATATAATTAATAGACAGGTCACGTAATATTAGGATTAGAAATTGAAGTCGTAATGAAATCAAAGTTCAGAATTTTTTTAAGAGAAGGGAAACGTTTAATGGTATCTTAGTAGAAAGCCATGGTATATTCAAAAGTTTTATAAATTTTTTCTGCAGACAAAGGTTAGGTTTTTTTATTTGTACTCCTAGGGTTTCTACTATATGTAACAGTTAGATTCTAGAACCATAGGGTAAACTCGGTGAGATTTTATAAATAACTTTAAACACTGAAGTTTCATCTAAGTGGTGATCAGTATCGACTAGATGTACCAAGATAGAGCTTCCTATTACTATGTTTTGTCCTTTGGTCAATCATGAAGGGTGATGTCCAGAAATACGGTGATGCATTTGTCTAGTTGTGCGCGCAATATTACTAGCTCCACAGGAGCAGTTGAAATTTTAAATAAGGGTAGAGGCAGAGGAAATAGGCAATTCTTCCTTAAGTCATGAAATCACTATCGGCTGGAT